CAGTGTGGGTGAGGGGTTTGGCAGGACCTCTACCTATATATATAATTAAAAGGAAAAAAAATTAAATGGTGGAGGACATAATGTCAAGCCTCCAGAAGTATAAAGTGGGAAATCAAAGCAAAAAGCAAGGTGGTGACTGATCATAGAGATGAATTAATAAAGTTCAACCAAATTAAAGCTTTCATTTTAGTTGTTTTAATTTTAAATATTCAATTTCATCCTATTATTTTGTGAATATAGTACCTCAGAATCGTCTGTTCTGTCACCCCGAGCTCCGAAATCATCCACATTGAATATCCGTGGCGAGGTTGCTTTGGTACCCACTTGAGCAAGCTTTCTATACATATCTTTCTCATGCTCGACCCTGGTCGGAAAGTTTGATCTGAAGTTGCCATGTCGATTGATAATGGTGGTGGCAATAGATTTAGAGTACACAGTTGACATTGGCTTGTGGCCCTGGGTCTCATCAAGATTATCAGAGAATGGGACCTTTTTGAAATTGCAAAAACATGAGGGGCATGACANGAAACAAAATAGCGACACATGTCATCGGCATCCTTAACTCCCTCCCACCGAGGAAATAATTCTCGGGGTTGAGGGACTCCGAGGCAGCATGGATGACACATATCCCTCAGCTCAGATTGATGAGATCGGTCCCGATGTGTGTATGCTCCCTCAGCGCCGAGGTGTATCTACTGGTATGTGGATTTTTTCACTCCTACAAGGACTGGTGATTAACAGGTGACTAGCATAGGTCAGTCTAGGCTAGGCTAGCTATTATAACAGCGTTCTACTCAATGGTGTCATGAGGCACAAGAAATACAGGGCACGTAACCAAGGAGGAGTAGACACATGGAATTTGATATCAAATCAGTAGCAAAAAAACCTGGATACCCCTGCTAACACATGACTGAAGCAAGTAAGTATTTAATGAATCCTCCTCCTGATGAGACAGCAATTAAGGCATGGGNGCAACAAAATAGCGACACATGTCATCGGCATCCTTAACTCCCTCCCACCGAAGAAATAATTCCTAGGGCTGAGGGACTCCGAGGCAACATGGATGACACATATCCCTCAGCTCAGATTGATGTGATCGGTCCCGATGTGTGTATGCTCCCTCAGCACCGAGGTGTATCTACTGGTATGTGGATTTTTTCACTCCTACAAGGGCTGGTGATTAACAGGTGACTAGCATAGGTCAATCTAGGCTAGGCTAGCTATTATAACAGCGTTCTACTCAATGGTGTCAGGAGGCACAAGAAATACAGGGCACGTAACCAAGGAGGAGTAGACACGTGGAATTTGATATCAAATCAGTAGCAAAAAAACCTGGATACCCCTGCTAACACATGACTGGAGCAAGTAAGTATTTAATGAATCCTCCTCCTGATGAGACAGCAATTAAGGCATGGAGGCCAAGGAATAAAGTGCATTAAAGACCCTCATACCTAGGCATTTAATACATCCTCGCCGAGAAGGAGGAATTGAATGCCCAGCAGACTGAGGAGTGAGCTTTAAATGCTCGGCATCCCGACCAGTTAAAGCAAAGCTCATTCCCCATAAAAGTGAGGGGCACACTGCCCCATCTCTGACAAATATCTGCTGAGTGGACTGTCAACAATCATGAGCTTTTGAAGGTATAAATAGTTCTAAAAAAAAGCATTAAAAAGGTATGCAAGAATTCCCAAAAAAAAGAACTACACAATGCTTTCTTCTTCCCCTCTTTCAAAGAACTGACTTGATCGTCGGAGGGGATACGCCGGAGAGCACTCCGGCGTCCTTCTAACCTGTTTTTCTGTGTCACAGGATCCCCCTACAATCTTCCAAGACCGGTCAGGCGACCCAACAAACAATTCATCACCAGTGGCCCCTTTGTCCCTCTCAACCTACTTCTTGTTGTCAAAACCCACTTTCAAATGGGTCAAATCTCTACCTGAGGCGATCAAAAATCCTAAAAGCAAATCCTCTATTCCGTTGGAATTATTGTCTTATCAAACCATAGTTCATCGTGAGAGAGATATGTTTCTACTTCTACTGTTGTGCAAAAACAGGTACGCACAGACTCGAACCACAATATGCTTTATTACCAAACACTCCAACAAAACAGAAGACTTTCCTATTTTTGTTTGATCACAAAATTCAACAAAAAAAAGGGTTGCAAAATTAGAAAAGTACCGATTTTGTGTCGAAATTACTCTGCCATGTTTTATTCTTGAAGAAACACAAGTAAAATTGTTCATGGGTCAGATTGAAGAAACACAAGTTGCACACATTAGTCCGAGGGCTTTAGCCAATGAACGTGGCTTAGATGGGTGGGCGAAACAAAGATCTGGGTCAATCGATGACCCTTTCATAGATAGACATTGGGTTGTCATAGGCTAACCCAACCCATGAACAACACCAAAATTTAAATGAGTTATCATGGTTAAAATATAATATAAATCGTCGAATCTAAACAATCAGAACCGTTGTTGTTTTTTTGTAAGTGGGGAGCTTAATCAACTCAATTAAGAGGCTGTGTTTTTATTATTATAAATGATTATAGTTTTGCTCTTAGTATTATACACTTGCATATATATACATACACCTACTCACATATACATACATCTAAGTAAAATCGTTTTACCCAAGTTGCAAACTAGGTTTGGTGAGTTAGTTTGACTTGCCCTTATTTCAATAATCTGGTACAAATTAGGCAACTTGCAATCAAAGCCTAACCTAGTTTTCTTTAACATCTATAGTCAAGCATTTATTTTCTAAGGCATGGTCCAGTCTACATTCTCATACATAACATACATACCATCCATACAATTATCATGTATATGTTCATGTATCTACATGATGTCATAGTGAAGGGATGTGTTTGGTGGAGGGAGTTAGGGAAGTTAGCACTGTTTTAGGTGATTTAAGCAATGTTGATTTTGTGCAAGTAAAGGTTAAGGTGAGATTGAGGTAAGAAAAATGGGTTTTGCGTGTGCTTTTGTCGGGGCAGAAAATGGGTNAGAGAGAGAGAGAGAGAATAAAACGTCCAGGAAATAGGAAACTTGCTGCAATGACAGAAGGAATGGCAATGAAAATGTTATACCATCATTAGCATATATATAATAGAAAAAAAAAAGTTGCTTTAGAGAGAGAGAAAGAGAGTGAGAGAGGAGCAATGGCTGCTTAGGGAATGTTCTTGACTATGATTCAAAGGTATGGACTGAGGTTCAAGAGATGGAGAAGAAAGTATTATTTGGCAGGTAGCTGACTCTAACATCAGGTATCTCTCAACTAATGGTTGTCAACTGTTTAGTTAACTTATGCTTGTTTACCAACGCACAAGCATGCATGTGGAGATGGGCTTTCCTAACATGTATGCATACTGACCCAACGACATACATCTTTTCCTGTCATACATAGAGATTGGGTCATTTTTTTAGGTAATAAAAATATCTCGGAAAAATTTATCGATACACAATATAGTTTAAGATGCACCCAAAGGATCTTTAAGGTTTATTACAAAAGGCACATGACTATGCTTGAGTTATGGTGCCTTACCCTTGAAAACACACATCGATCTGAATTTCCTCTAAGCCACCTTCTCTTAATTTTCATCACTGACAAATCACTCACTGTTGAATGGTTAGGGATCCACTTTCATATAGTGGACCCCACTTTAATTTAATGGTAGGCAATTTATCTTTGAAAAAATTCGAAGAAAAATAAATTGAAAGAGAATTAGATGCGGATGTTACGCGGATTCAGTCAAAAGGGTAGATAAAAAGTGAAGCAATATTATAATTCCTACACAAAAAGGTCAAATGGATGCAGCGGTTATAATTATTAAAATGGGAAATTGAAATTCAATGATCGTTTGCCAAGAAACTGCAGCGTTTAACCCCACATGTTGTGGTCACAACATTAAAAGGACATAATATCTTTTAAAAATGCCCCTATAAAGCCCAAAGTCACCATTATTAGACTAAGACTCTAATGAGACATTTTCAGAACGCAACAAAATAGCGACACATGTCATCGGCATCCTTAACTCCCTCCCACCGAAGAAATAATTCCTAGGGCTGAGGGACTCCGAGGCAACATGGATGACACATATCCCTCAGCTCAGATTGATGTGATCGGTCCCGATGTGTGTATGCTCCCTCAGCACCGAGGTGTATCTACTGGTATGTGGATTTTTTCACTCCTACAAGGGCTGGTGATTAACAGGTGACTAGCATAGGTCAATCTAGGCTAGGCTAGCTATTATAACAGCGTTCTACTCAATGGTGTCAGGAGGCACAAGAAATACAGGGCACGTAACCAAGGAGGAGTAGACACGTGGAATTTGATATCAAATCAGTAGCAAAAAAACCTGGATACCCCTGCTAACACATGACTGGAGCAAGTAAGTATTTAATGAATCCTCCTCCTGATGAGACAGCAATTAAGGCATGGAGGCCAAGGAATAAAGTGCATTAAAGACCCTCATACCTAGGCATTTAATACATCCTCGCCGAGAAGGAGGAATTGAATGCCCAGCAGACTGAGGAGTGAGCTTTAAATGCTCGGCATCCCGACCAGTTAAAGCAAAGCCCATTCCCCATAAAAGTGAGGGGCACACTGCCCCATCTCTGACAAATATCTGCTGAGTGGACTGTCAACAATCATGAGCTTTTGAAGGTATAAATAGTTCTAAAAAAAAGCATTAAAAAGGTATGCAAGAATTCCCAAAAAAAAGAACTACACAATGCTTTCTTCTTCCCCTCTTTCAAAGAACTGACTTGATCGTCGGAGGGGATACGCCGGAGAGCACTCCGGCGTCCTTCTAACCTGTTTTTCTGTGTCACAGGATCCCCCTACAATCTTCCAAGACCGGTCAGGCGACCCAACAAACAATTCATCACCAGTGGCCCCTTTGTCCCTCTCAACCTACTTCTTGTTGTCAAAACCCACTTTCAAATGGGTCAAATCTCTACCTGAGGCGATCAAAAATCCTGAAAGCAAACCCTCTATTCTGTCGGAATTATTGTCTTATCAAACCATAGTTCATCGTGGGAGAGATATGTTTCTACTTCTACTGTTGTGCAAAAACATGTACGCACAGACTCGAACCACAATATGCTTTATTACCAAACACTCCAACAAAACAGNTAAAAGCAAATCCTCTATTCCGTTGGAATTATTGTCTTATCAAACCATAGTTCATCGTGAGAGAGATATGTTTCTACTTCTACTGTTGTGCAAAAACAGGTACGCACAGACTCGAACCACAATATGCTTTATTACCAAACACTCCAACAAAACAGAAGACTTTCCTATTTTTGTTTGATCACAAAATTCAACAAAAAAAAGGGTTGCAAAATTAGAAAAGTACCGATTTTGTGTCGAAATTACTCTGCCATGTTTTATTCTTGAAGAAACACAAGTAAAATTGTTCATGGGTCAGATTGAAGAAACAC